ATACATATATATATATATATATGTATATATACATATATATATATATATACATATATATATATATGTATATATATATATATATGTATATACATATGTATATATACATATATATATATATACATATATATATATATACATACATATATATATATATATATATATATCTACGTGTAAAGTTTGTTTATATATACACACTATTATGCGAGATTTCTTATACAACGCGGTTTTCGAATCTTCTTCTATTTCCGTGAGATTTCTTGCCTGCACCCATGAGCGCTCCGCTCGAGAAAAGTCTCGGCATCGCGGGTTAGGAGAAGCTTAGAATCGGTAGCTATCGGCTTCCCGACGACGTGCACCAGGTGATCATCTCCTACCTCCCCGCAAAGACTTTCTACATACTCCTATGAGGGGAAAAAGTCAGTTTTGTTAAGGGAGATTACCATTGTATTCTATGAAGGTTAATGAAGTTAAAAGAGTAGCTCTTCAGCACAACTAAAACATAATTAAATTGTGCACCAACTGAGCAAGGCAAAAGGGCTACATTTTCACTGCATAAGTTGATGAATAAATTACATTATTTTTCTATGTGGATAATCAAGCAATTGATTTTACCTTATACTATAGTTGCTATCTACGAAAAATGACAAAATAGCACCGTTCTGGGTTTTGTGAAGAATATTTTCACAACAAGATGACTGTTGTTTTTTGGTATATAATATATATATATATATATATATATATATATATATATATATCTATATATAAAGTGTGTATATATATATACACACTATTCCGTGAGATTTCTTATACATCGCGGTTTTCGAATCTCCCTCAATTTTCGTGAGATTTCTTGGCTGCAGCCATGAGCGCTCCGCTCGAGAAAAGCCTCGGCAGCGCAGGTTATGAGAAGCCTAGAACCGGTAGCTATCGGCTTCCCGACGACATGCACCAAGTGATCCTCTCCTACCTTCCCGCAAAGACCTTCTTCAAACTCCTATCAGGGAAAAAGTCAGTTTTGTTAAGGAGGATTGCTAGTGTATCCTATGAAGGTTAATTAAGTTAAAAGAGTAGTGATAGGGGAATCACCATGAAGGTCAACGAGGACATGGACCATGACGCCAGCCATCCCAGGGCGGGACAGTAGAAAAGACTCCCCTCAGGGAGTGATGGCGACGCGACATGCCACGACGTCCTCCGTGCGCAGCCGCACCCTGTCCGAATGAACGGGCATTAATGTCGACTCGACGTCTCCGCGTCACCCCCCCAGCCAGCGACTCCCTCGCCCACACCCAGCACGTTCACTCAAACGCAGAGGGCGACGATCGATGCCGCCCATACCCTGCGGCCGGATGATCCGACACGCCACCCTAATGGCAACGTCAAATCCAGTCAGAGGCACGACCCCGTTCTGGCAAGCAGGAACATCAGGTAATATCAAGCTGAAACTATAAAAGAGTCCAGGGCCAAAAGGCCAAAGAAGGGAGGCGAGACAAAAAACCTCTTCTCGTCGACTAACTAGACCGTCGGAGGGGTCGGGCCCAGAGGACGGTCCGACCTGTGTGCAGGTACACGGCGACCACGTTGCCGGGAGACCGCAGCTGACTACCACGGAGGATCACACGCAGGCCGGCTGGCTGTGAGCGCTCACCCCGAAGACACCAGGAGGATCTACCCGTGACCTTCGGCATCCGGACCCCTGAACCAAGCCGTGACGTCCCGAGATCACGGCTTAAACGGGTGCAGACCGCATCAGATTGGCGCTAGGAGGGCCCGAATGCCGAACGATCCTCACGCCGACCCTCTCGGACCCGTCACCCACGGAGAAGGAGAAATGCTGACGTCAACGCCAGATCGTTATTGCCGCCTGTTCAACGACTTAGGGATGCCACCCCCATTATCCACGGCCGACCCTCCAGCCGTACTGCCCGAGGCGTTCCTCGCCCTCGTTAAGCAAGTGCAGGGAATGATGGAGATAATGCAGACCGTTGTCCCACTCATTCCCGAAATCAGGCGACTGATGGACGCCTCCGCAGACCCACCTCATCTAAGGCCGAGCACGGGACAGGATGCAACCGGTGAGACCCGAGACAGGGCCATACACCATGAGGGTTCGCCCACGTGTGTCTCTCCTGCGCCCTCCCGAGCCGCACGGCGCCGCCCCGAGCCTGACACCGTATCGTCCGACTCGGCGGACAGTTTCCTTAAGGTACAGTTCTCCCAGGTCAATCGCCGCCTGGACGAGTTCCGACGCGAGCTCCAAAGGTTGCGGGACGAATCAAGCGAGGACACCTCGGGGGGGTCCCCTTTCGTTCAGGAAATACAAGAAAAACCTGTCCCTCTCAACTTTAGGGTGCCGGCCCTGGAAACGTACGACGGCGGCTCTGACTCAGCAGAGCATATAGCCGCGTTCAGAACTCAGATGGCCCTTTACGGCACGTCCGACGCGCTGATGTGCCGTACGTTCCCGACCACCTTCAGAGGACCAGCACGCGCATGGTTCAGCCGGCTGCGACAATCCTCAATCGCATCTTTTGACCAGTTCGCCAAAGAGTTCGAGCAAAACTTCCTTACCAGCGCGCGGCCTCGGCCTTCCATAGCCGCCCTGCTGGCACTATCGCAGCACGAAGAGGAAACGCTCGCGCAGTTTGTGACACGCTTTGCCGCGGAGATCCGCGGCTATTCGGACACTCACCCCTCTTTGATCATGCAGGCGTTCCTGACGGGGCTGAAACCCTCGAGGTTCTTCTGGTCACTAATCGAGAAGCCGCCCGCCACTGTCCCCGAGATGCTCCACCGGGCCAACCAATACGTCGCCGGCGAAGCATTAGCAGCAGGAAGACGCCCGGTCGCGAAGAAATCGCGAACCGAGCAACCCCGAGCCGCCACCTCGTCGGTCGACCTGCGACCCCATCGGAGGCCCGACCACCCTGAGCAGCGGCTCCCGAGACCTCCTCCCCTCCCACTCAACACACCTCGTACCGAGATCTTCCTCCAGATCAGGGAGAAAGCTCTTCTGCGGCCCCCTAATCCTATGAGAGCTACTTACAAAAATCGATCGAAATACTGCAGGTTCCACCGAGACCACGGCCACGACACAGAAGACTGCCACGACCTCCAGAATCAGATCGAGGAGCTGATCAGAAGAGGGTACCTCGGCCGTTATCTCAAGGAACCCCGAGAAGCAACCCCGCGTCCCCGGATGCCCGTGGAGAGGCAGGTCGATGTCATCATCGGTGGACCAGCGGCAGGCGGCAGCAGCTCAAGCGCAAGGAAATCCTACGCCCGGAGCTCGGTCGAGAAGCGCCCCCGACCCGAACTAGAACCCGAAATCTCTTTTGGGGCCGAGGAGGGAGAAAGGTCCCATCATGACGACGCTCTGGTAATTTCTGTCCAGATCGCCAACGCTCGGGTGAAGCGGGTGATGGTCGACACTGGGAGCTCCGCCGACATCCTGTACCTCGACGCCTTCAAAAGGCTCGGCCTGCCCACTGAAGACCTCATCCCCATGAGCTCGGCGCTCACGGGATTCACCGGAGACTCAATCTCCCCGCTCGGCACCACCACACTCCTTGTCTCCATTGGGGAGGAGCCAAGAACCAAGACAATAATGACTACGTTCATGGTGGTCAACCTGCCCTCGGCCTACAACGTTATCCTCGGGCGCCCGACGCTCAACAAGCTAAAAGCAGTAGTCTCAACCTACCACCGAGCCATCAAGTTTCCCACCTCGGCGGGGGTTGGAGAATCGCGAAGCGACCCAGGCGAGTCAAGAAGGTGCTACCTCACCGCGGTCTCACTCCCGAAAAGGGCGTGCCCCCATATCCCAGACCCACGAGAAGAGACCCCCATGTCAACACACCTTGAACCGCCCGAGCGGCTTACCGAGGTACCGATAAAGGGAGACCGGCCCGGTCAGACCGTGAAAATCGGCACAGCTCAGCTCGAAGGAAACCAGCTCTAGCTCGTCGAGTTCCTAAAGGCAAACGCCGATGTCTTCGCATGGTCGCCCAAGGAAATGCCAGGGATCGATCGGACGGTAGCCGAACACTAGCTTAACATCAATCCCGAAGCTAGGCCAGTAAAGCAAAGACCACGCAGGTTCGCCCTCGACCGGCAAAAGGCGATCAGCGAAGAGGTCGACCGGTTGACAGAGGCCGGATTCATTTCCGAAGTAAAGTACCCCCAGTGGCTGTCAAATGTAGTCCTCGTTAAAAAGCCTAATTGAAGCTGGCGGATGTGCGTTGACTACACCAATCTCAACTGGGCGTGCCCCAAAGACTACTACCCACTCCCGAGAATAGATCAGCTAGTCGACGCCACCTTCGGCTACGAACTCCTTACCTTCTTGGACGCATACTCGGGCTATAACCAAATCCGCATGGCACCGGCGGACCAGGAGAATACAACTTTCATCACCGACAGAGGAATATATTGCTACAAGGTGATGCCGTTCGGCTTAAAGAACGCTGGGGCGACCTACCAGAGGATGGTCGACAAGCTGTTCAGACGCCAGATCGGCAGGAACATGGAAATATATGTGGACGACATGATCGTAAAAAGCAAAACCGCGGAGGCGCACCTAGCCGACTTGGCAGAAACTTTTCAGACCCTCAAACGATTCCATATGCGTTTGAACCCCGCGAAGTGCGTCTTCGGGGTTAGCTCGGGAAGATTCCTTGGCTTCGTCATCCATCAGAGGGGAATAGACGCCAACCCGGAGAAGGTACGGGTCATAACCCGGATGCGCTCACCCCGATCCGTCAAAGAAGTACAGTGTCTCACAGGGAAACTGGCGGCACTCAGTAGATTCATATCCAGGTTGGGCGACAGGTGCCTGCCTTTCTTCCAGGCCCTACAACAAGTCAACAACTTCACCTGGACACCCGAGTGCGAGGAAGCTTTTGAAAACCTGAAGGTATACCTTGCCCGCTTGCCCCGACTCGCTTCCCCTGAGCCAGGAGAAACCTTGAGCCTTTACTTGGCGGCGTCAGCGCGGGCAGTTAGCTCGGTGCTAGTCCGAGAAACACCGCCGCAGCAGCAGCCCATATATTACGTCAGCCACGTCCTCGCCGGGGCCGAGGCACGGTACCCCCCCATCGAAAGGCTGGCTCTGGCGTTGGTGAGGACAGCGCGAAAGCTACGCCCATATTTCCAGTCCCACACAATCAAAGTCATCACCGACCAGCCGCTGCAGAAAATCCTATCCAAGTTCGACGTATCGGGGCGAATGTTACGATGGTCGGTCGAGCTCAGCGAGTTCGACATCCAATACTCTCCGCGAAACACCATAAAAGCCCAGGTACTGGCCGACTTCATCTCTGAACTAACGCCCGAGAATTGTGCAGAGGGACGGAAGGATACCGACCGCGCGTGGACCCTGCATGTTGACGGCTCCGCCGTCATCGGTGCGGCTGGAGTCGGCCTCATCCTTAAAAGCCCTACTGGGGAAACCTACGAAAGGTCCATCCGACTGCAATTCCAAGCCACCAACAACGAAGCCGAATACGAGGCACTACTACATGGCCTACGCCTCACCTTGGAGATGCAGGTAGACAACCTTGAGGTATTCAACGACTCTCAGCTGGTGACAGGGCACGTGAATGGGAGCTACGAGGCCCGGGACCCCACGATGGCATCATACCTGGCGGAAACAGAGCGGCTCGCCCGTCTCTTCAGCCGGTTCTCAATCACACAAGTGCCCCGGGTCCAAAACGCATCCGCCGACGCTTTGGCAAAAGCAGCCTCCGCACGGGGTTTAGAAAAAGCCTCCGTGATCGAGCCCATAGCAGCGCCGACCATACCATCCTGCGGCGTCGTTGGTACCCGAACCCCGCCGAACTGGATGGAGGAGATACTCCGCTTCAAGATGGATGGGACGGAGCCCGACGACCCGGCGGCGGCTAGACGATTGAGGCGAACGCAGGCCTGGTATAGCTTGATCGGTGGGAAGCTGTACCGCAGAGGTTTCTCACAGCCACTCTTGCTCTGCCTCGCGCCCCCCGAGGCCCACACCGTCCTCGCCGAGCTCCACGAGGGAATTTGTGGGGAGCATATTGGGGGTCGGACCTTGGCCTTCAAGGCCCTCCGACAGGGATACTACTGGCCAACAATGCGCCGAGACGCTGCGTCATACGTGCGGCAATGCCAACCGTGCCAATGGCATGCCCGACTGCAGCATCAACCGGCGGTCCCTCTCAACTCGATGGAAGTCGCTTGGCCATTCGCCCAGTGGGGATTCGATCTCCTCGGTCCTTTCCCTCCGGCCTCGGGGCAACGACGTTTCCTCATTGTCGGGGTGGATTATTTCACAAAATGGGTTGAGGTCGAACCACTGGCCTCCATCACCGAGAAGCAAGTTCAAGGCTTTACGTGGAAGAACATCATCACTCGGTTCGGGATCCCGAGGGCCATTATCACCGACAATAGGGCCCAGTTCAACAACGCGAAGTTTAAGGCTTACTGCTCGTCGTACGGGATACAACTGAAGTTTAGCTCGGTGGCACACCCTCAGACCAACGGACAGGCCGAGGTGATGAATCGGGCGGTTCTGGAAGGCCTCAGGAGACGAGTCTCAGGCGCACTCGGAGCTTGGGTAGACGAACTGCCGAGCGTTCTTTGGGCGATGCGGACTACCCCGAAAACAGCTTCAGGCGAATCCCCGTTCACCCTTGCATTCGGGACTGAATCAGTCCTACCGCCCGAAGTGGTATTCCCAACCTTTCGCACCTCGGATTACAAGCAAGCGGATTCCGAGGAGGGCCTGAGGGCGCGCTTAGACCTCCTCGAGGAAAGAAGAACCGAGGCCCACCTGCGCGCCCTGACCTATAAAAAGGCCGTGGCACAAATGTACAACCGAAGAGTCCGTCCTCGCCCAATCGAGATCAGAGACCTCGTTCTCCGTAAGGCGGAAGTAACCGACCCGACCCGGGCGGGAGGCAAGCTCGCGCCCAACTGGGAGGGCCCGTACAGAGTCTACGATATGATCCGAGAAGGGACCTACCGGCTCGAGACTATGGAAGGAAGCCGCCTCCCGAGGACCTGGAACGCAATTAATCTGAAGAAATTCTACCCGTAAGAAAGAACCAAGCAGAGACGTATATCACGCCGGATGCGTAGGACAATAGCCAGAATAAGTTGTTTCCATTATGAAAAGATTCATACAAACATTGGGTTGGCGATACAAAGACCCAAAAATCCAACCCGACCCAAAACAAAAAGAAACATCAACACGGAGGGGGTGTCTCGGGCCCGTCATCAAAGGGGACGCTCGCCGGCATATCCACCGCCTCGTCTGCGGGATGGTCGGCGAAGGGATCCGACTCCAACTCCCACTCCGGATGACTCGAGCGGGCGCGAGCACAGGCTACTCGGTTCCCGAACTCGTACGTCGCCCGCCCTGACCTCACCAGGCCGCGCTCGAACCCGTCCGATGCCTTGTACTCAGCGATCGCCCTCTCTATCCGCTCGGGCAGAGCCTGTTGTTCCTCCTTCAAGGCTGCCTCGGCGGCCCAAGCGGCTGACCGCGCGGACTCAACGTCATTGGAGAGCGTCTGGAGTTCGTCGTCCAGCGTTCGGGCGCGAGCCTGGCTCTCCTCCAGCTCGCCCTTCAGGCGCGTCACCTCTTCGTCCAGCACCGAGGCGCGCTGCTCGACCGCTGCCACGGCCTCCGGGCCGAACGACTGCCTCAGCTCCTGGTTCTCGAGACGAAGCGCGGCGTAAGTGCTCGACTGTCGCTCGATCAGCCGCCCGGCATCAAGGACTCGATCGATCAGCGCCATGGCATAGTGTTGGCCCTGCACCCAGGTCAGCATCAACACCCAAAGTAACGGACAAACGGAAGAAGCAAGGGCGTCACTCACCCACACCAGGGATTTCGCCGCCCGTTCCGCCAACACCTCCGAGGTGGAGCCATAAAGTTCTTTGGCCAGCAGCGGGTGAAGCGCCCCCCGGATAAACTCCTGAGCCGTCGATCCGTCGGCCCAGACCTTGCTGTCTGTCTTAAGCCCGGGCCACCGAGGGACGTAGGAGGCTCCCGCTGCGCCGGTAGGGAGGTTGGCCATGATCGGGGCCTGGTACTCCTCGTTCCCCAACCGGCTGACATGGCACAGGTCTCGCATCGACCTCGGGCGTGCCGATGCCCCTTGAGCCGGGTCGTCACCAGCCGGCTCGACCGCCTCCTTTCCCCTAGCGGTCCCCGCCGCTTGCCCCGACGGGGCGGCCCCCGTCAACCCCGTGGCGCCACGCTCCCGAGCGGCCGAACGCGCAGACACTTTCCTGACCGCAGTTTTCAGTTTCTTCCCCGGCCGACTCGTGGTCGGAGAAGTCGGCACGGTCTCGGGCGCGCCCCTCTTTGGGACCTCTCCGGAGCCAGCACCACCCTGTGGTTGAGACGCGGTCGGTCGGGAGTGCGACGCCTTCTTCACGGACTGAAAGTTCACCATCCCTGCAAAAGGAGATCTGATCGATCAGATGACTCAAGACGAAGAAGAGAGGACACATGACGTGAAGGCAACCATACCCCCAGCAATCGGGCTCAACCCTACGTCAGCCAGCCACTCCTCGGTCATCTCTTTGATCATCCGAGAAGAGGACAGGATGCCCCTCAAACGATCTAGCTCCACCGACTCTCTGCCCAAAAGCAACGGGAGGACGTTGTCGACCGTGCGGGAAGTCCATCCGGTGCTGAAGCCCCACCCCCAACTGCAGCTGACGAAGAAGAAGCGACTCTTCCAGCCTTTATTACTGGAAGGGGCGCCGCTGATCCTGAACCCACTACGCGCGGACAGGTAGTAGCCGCCCCGACCCCGACATAGTCGAAAGCAAGCCAGAAATAGATCCCTGGACGGATCTACCCCGGCCGCCCGACACTCTCCGAGGAAGACGACCAGATAGCGCCACGAATTTGGCGCCATCTGAGACGGTGATATGCCCCACTTACGAAGACAATCCTCAATCACGGGA